ACTGACAATGTCCTGATCGCTGTGGTTGCTAACAGATTGCCACAGTTACCTGTAGTCTACATGGAAGTTTCCGAAAGGTCTACGAGCGCTCACTATCTTACCACGGAGCAGAAAATGGAAATGGAAACCATTTGCTTTCCAAGTAAAACTTGTGCTTCACTACTGAAGCCAACTTATTTCAAAAAGTGTTACATTTACTTTTGTGTCACAGTCTTCACAGTTTCACAACTACCTGATCAAAAGCTCGCAAGCATTTGCAGACAAGCCAGTGTTTTCCAAAGAAACTATGTGCAATCACGGCGATCTGCTAGCAAGCAAACCAATCATGAGAAGGTTTTTGGTGCGACCCCATACACCTTTTTGTAACCAATATCACCTGGCGACAGGCAACGATCTCCAGTAAACACTCTCAAGCGATCAGTGAATAATTATTTAATAATTATCATCAACTCAGCCACAAAGTAAAGCTACAGATCGGGGTCGCACAGTGCTGAGGCAGATAATGTGGAAAAGTTGCTAATGCTCTCCAGACTCAGACCTTTGCTGATATTACCTTAAACAGAAACACTGTGGGATGGGAGCTTCATGACCTTGGTTTCCATAGACTAGCAGCTCCTGTAGGTCTAGTCTGTTAGTGGCCTGGTATTTTTGTCCATATAGGGTATATATATTTGAGGGCTTATTGACAAACAGGTGGGCAGCACATATGAAAGTACTTAACAACAGGTGAAAACAATATGGAGAATCTGAGAAAGACAAAGAGAGGAAGCAAAACTATCAGGGCACAAAATACATCAGATATTCTAAGTAAAACAATAAATAACCAAAACAGACTGACACAGACATGGTTAACAATGTCAAGAGGACCAATGTGACAACAAAACACAAGGAGGCACAGGCAGACAAACTGCTACTAAAAATAGTCAAGGTGTTAAACAGAACACAAGAGATCACAAAACGTTAAATGGTAGAATAACCATTAGAATCAATATCATAAGAACTAAAACTTCCAATATACTAGAATATGAAACAAGAAATCAATTCAACAAGTACCAGACTAATATGACAAAACTAAAAACTATTAACCAAAGATCAAAAATATAATGAAGACAAAACAAGAAAACAAACGTAGGAGCAGTGAAACTGCTTCACGCTGCATTTCAGAGATTTATGATTACACACTGCCTCTGCTGGGACACTCTCCACATACACACCAAAGTAGGAGCCACAGCTGTATAAAGCAACAGGCTAGTGCACAGTTGTGTGATTTTGCCAGAAGCAGAGAGTGACCTTCTGAAAGTCAGTGTTCTCTCTTAGTAAGAAATAATAATCCATCTCACAAGCATAACACATGACTGCAGTCAATGATGCAGCTAAAGAGCAGCATTCACCACACATTTTAATCAGCTGGATTTTACAATTGTAATAAAACAAATTATATTTACTTAGTTCTTATAAAATGTGAGGAAAAAGAGGGAGTCACAGAGGGGTACTATCTGATATTCAGTGCTCTTTAAGCAGCTGGTGTTCTGTGTACGGTGAACTAATGTGGACTAAGTCGTGACAGATGATGATGATGATGATGATACAGACTGCAACTCCAACGCTATGCCATCAGAATGTAACAACTTTTGAAAATTGTTCTTCCAAGTCATGAAGGCAATCAGGACACCAACCCCCTACCAAAGAATTCAAACTTATAAACATTAGTAACTTTTTTACTAAATACACTGTAGCTGCACTTTAGCTGTTTTTGGAAAAACCCATGCCATGACCGCATAAATGTAATCACATGTGTTGTGAACACAGCCCACACAGATACAAATGCTGGCAATGGAGTAAGAAAGTAGCGTGGACTTGTAGGTTCTAAATACAGTCATCACGCATGTCTAAATTAAGCTGAACTGTATGATTAGAAATGTAAAAATTCAACTGCATTTCACTTGAAAATCAAATTTCTGTTACTGTAACATTCCATTGCAAACCTCTGGTACCAGTGCTGTAGCAGCATCATCATTGCAGACAGTCACGGTCATAAACCTGAAGGAAAATACGAGGGCAATCCCAAAAGTAAGGTCTCCTATCATTTTAGAAATACAAACAACCATTTATTTTCTATAATATTGACATCATTTTAAAGCTTGAAGACTTATTTATTTTTCTAAATAATCGCCATTTCGGTTGACGCATTTTTGTAGACGCTGTAGCAGTTTTACAATACCTTTGTCATATCCGCTCGCCGCCGTCGCTTTCCGAACAAATGTTCTTTCAACTTTGGGAACAGGTCGTAGTCACTGGGTGTGAAGTCCGAACTATAGGGCGGGTGGGTGATGAAGTTTCAACCAAAAGTTTTGCAGGAGAGCGACAGATTGACGGGAGACACGTGGACGCGTGGTGTCGTGGAGAATGCTTACGCCCTTGCTCAGCATTCCTCTTCTCCAGTTCTGAAATGCCCTTCTGAGTTTTTTCCCATGTTTCACAGTACCTGTCAGCATTTACTGTGGTCCCAACAGGCAGAAAGTCAACCAACAATGCCCCATTTCGGTCCTAAAACACAGTTCCGCACTGCGCGCAAGAATTCTCAACGACACTGTGCATCAAACTGTTGCTCTCCTGCAAATCTTTGGTTGCAACTTCATCACCCACCCACCCTATTGTCCGGACTTTGCAGCCTGTTCCCAAAGTTGAAAGAACATTTGTCCATAAAGTGATTCTGCGGCGGTGGCGAGCGAATATGACATAGGCATTGTAAAACTGCCACAGCATCTACAAAAAGCCATCAACCGAAATGCTTGATGCATTTTTATGTAGAAAAATAAAAATAAATGATGTAGAAAAATAAATAAGTCTTCAAGCTTTAAAATGATGTCAATAGTATGGAAAATAAAAGGTTGTTTGTATTTCTAAAATAATAGGAGGCCTTACTTTTGGGATTGTCCAAAATTAGCTTTATGCTGTGGATACATACTTGGCTCTATATGAAAAAGAAACTGCTCTCTGTTGTTAAATCATGATTAACCTGATTACTGTCAGACCAGGTGAATTTAAAAAAAAGAAATCAGAAAAGTAGAACAAAGTGAAGTTGTTTAAAAACCTCAAAAAGCAGTCACATCATGATCTAAAGAAACAGCTGAGATATAAAGTCACTGACATTTTCAGTCTGGAAAGGGCTACAAAGCTAAACTCCAATGAGAGCCATTAGCTACAAATGGAGAAAACTTGTAACACTTGTTACCTCCCTAGAATTCCGGCTGACCAAAATGACTCCAATAGTGATTAACGACTCATCCAGGAGATCACAGAACAACCCTGAACAACATCTAAAGAACTACAGGCCTTACTTGTCTCGGTTAAGGTCAATGTTCATAATGCAACACTGTGTTCTTTTTCGTCAGCAGTGGTTTTCTCCTTGGAACTCTACATGGATCCTATTTTTGCCCAAAGGCTAATTTCAAATTTGCCATAAAGCATCCCCAAGACCTTTAGGAAAATATTCTGTGGACTGACGTGACCAAGGTTGAACACAACCATTCCATAAAATGGAACAAGAATCACGGTACCAACATGGTCATAGTGTAATGAATGGGGCCTGCTTTGATTCTTCAGAACCAGGACAACTTGCTGTATTTATGGAACCAGGAAATCTACGCTCTATCAGAAAATCCTAAAGAAGAATATCCGGCCATCAGTTCATGCCCTGAAGCCCAACCTCACTTGGGTTATGCAGCAGGACAATGACCAAAAAACACCAGCACCCACCACATTTTTGAGTGTCGAGGCCACTTGGAAATGTTGAAAATGAACCTTTTGTAGTTACTCAGACAAATCCAAAAGGATTGGATCGAGACACTTTGGCATGACCTTAAACAGGATGTTTATCCTCAACCCCAATGTTGTGTGCTGCTCATCAGCAGTGACAATACAAAAATAATTTCTCATTACACAGACTGATATATTAAACATAAATGATAACAAAATTCATAACAGGTAGTTCTTTAATATTTTAAATATCTTAAATATTAAATTGCTTGCTGGCTATTACTCATGTCAACTGAGGTCAATCAACTTTGACATGTTCATCAACTATCTACAACTTTTGCACTTTAGGTCACAAGAGACTGCAAAGTTAGCAGATCATTCTCTAGGGCTTATTACTACAAATGATCCCTTCACATGAAAACAAACATGACTTATTTTGGATGAGAAGTCTTGAAGAACATGACTGCTAAAGATAGCTTCCTGCTGACCATCGACAGGCAATGTGATATTGGGTATTCTGAACAGAACAGAGCAGGCTGAGGCAGAGCATGCTATGATATTTCGGCATATATAATAAAGTTGCATCAAAGATAGAGTTAAAGCAACTGTATGAACACAAGTGAGAGAGATATAGAGAAAAGAGGTGGGAGTGAGACGAGAGCTGAGAATAGAGGATAGAGTGCAAATTAAATCCAAAGCAAAGAGAAAATGGGGCTAAAATTTGTCATAACAGAAAAAGGAGTGAAGATGAGGCAACACTCGGAATGGAGTCCGTATAGCTCCATGAGAGGAAGAATGGGAGGCTAATAGCTTTTTGGCAGCTGGGTCTTCAAAAAGAGAGTGCCTGCCTAGCAACTGCACACGCTGAGCTCATAGCAGCAGCCTGGTCACAGTTGTCATAGAAACAAGCACACGTAAAAGTTTTTACCGTATTTACAAAGAGCAGTTTGCAACTTGAGAAACATTTACAATTTTTAGGTTCCAGGTTATTATCTGCTCTCGCTTTATTTAGAACGACTTTTGACGTACATCAGGGGACTCATTTATTAACATGCTACAAACTCCTCTGGTTATATTTGAAACAAAGATATTGCTAACTTATTAAGCAAAATCTCTTCCTTTCTCCATCTTGTGCTAATCACTTCCATAAAAGTGACCTCTACTGTCACACACAGAGTCTCCAACACACACACACACACACACACACACACACACACACACACACACACACACACACTTACATGAGTGCCAAGCCGAGGTAGTTAGCTGTGCTGCCCCAGTACATTGGGTTCTCTGTGATGTTGAAAGGAAAGCCTGTTACCTTCTCATCCATCAGAATGCCAAAGTAGTCACCTGTAAAATACATAAAAGGACAAAACCTGTGTTTCATAACTTCAGTCTGACAGTTTCTTTTTCTTTTCAGTGATTCAGGAAACTGGAGTCTATCCCAGTAGCACTTGGCAAGAAGCAGAAAACATTTCTAAACTGTCCAAATTTCAGTTCTACATCATCTTATCAACTAGTCCCTAGTAGACATGGATTCAGTCAGCAAAGCCCTTTGGACTTGCACAGCGTTACTATGGTTTCTGCTATGCCATCAACTGATGTCTTGTTTTCACAATCCTACCAGACAGATTTTGGACCTGCTTATCAAGTCTACGATGATTTTTGACATGTACCTGACAAAACAACACAACACTAAAGTCAGACTGAGGATACACTGCCGGGAACATGACACAGCTGTGTTAATGCTGCAGTGTCTGGGTGCTGTGCGTCACCTGGCTGTTACTGGTGTCAACAATACAACTCTATGGGCATGACTTCATGTGTAATCTTTGGACTTTGTTTCATAGCAAAATATTACAAAAGAAACTTTTTAGAACCTCTGACAACCTCTTTTGGTGACCTGTTTTAGCAGAAATATGTCCTTAACTTTTAGTAATGGGACTTTTTCTGACAACCCCACTCTTAGGAATGGCAAAGTGTATGGCAGCATAGTGCCTTAGTCAGAGATGAGACCCACTGATGGGCACTCAGTGATTTTTTTTTTCTTCCCCTCCTAGTACACTAGTTCCTAAAAGCTGGCCTCACAAAGATGTGTTACTGCAAATGGGACTATTTTCTGGTTGGCGCCACTGCTTTGTATTTACTGGTGCAACATGAGTCAATCCAGCTGGCTCTCCTGACAATTTTGTCACTGCAGGAAGATGAGGTCAGTACCACACATCAGCTGCGTATAACATAAATGAAAAAGCTCCATGTATATATATATATATATATATATATTAGGGGTGCAACGATATTCGTATCGATATTGAACCGTTCGATAAAGTGCTTTCGGTTCGGTACGCATATGTATCGAACAATGCAAAATTTTTAATTTATTTTATCAACTTTTCTTCTGACGATGCTGTCTGTGTTGAGCGCTCAGTGGATCTGCGCTCGACAGTGCAGCCTAGGCGGAGTACTCAAACGCAGATTCACTGAGCGCAGGGCAAGCTAGCGAGACAGAAGTTAAGCTCTCCTTGCAACATGGCAAATTGAACCTCCCCCACCCTCATTCACATCTGGCGTTTGGAACTATTTTGGTTTTCATGTGACGTATGACCCTGAAGGTAAGCGCTTCATGGACTAAAGTAAAACAGTATGTTGGATGTGCCACGCAATGCTCAATTACATGGGTGGGAGCTAGTGTGTTAGCGCAGTTAGCTCGTTAACGTGTTGGCCATCCAGCCCCATGCACGGGGCGATCCGCGGTAGCTCGTTAACGGAGATTTGCCGTGTTGTGGCGTTAACATCATTTCAACGAGATTTACGCTGACAGCACTAGCGGGAACACAACGAATATGACTGCACATTTCCGCGGACATCATCCTAGTGCAAAAACAAGTGGAAGCAGACAAAAACAACAAGCACGCATGCTACAAACTTTACCCGAGTCATTTAGACAGCCGTTAGCACATGATTCTCCTTATGGGGACCTGATATGTTTAATATGCTGCTGAGAATATAGCCCAGAAGAAGCGTATAGTATAGCTTTTATTTTGGAAAGAGCCATTTCTCTGTAATAAACTCTCTTTTTCCAACGATGAGTGATTTCTCGATCAGATAGATTTATTTTATTTATTTTGTTGTTTCAGCAACATTAAATTTAAAAACTGTACTTTTGAGTTAAAATATATATTTATCAATTTAATAAATGACAAATTAAAAAGGCATGAACATTTTTTTGTATCGAAAAAATATCGAACTGTGACACCAAAGTATCGAACCAAACCGTAAATTTTGTGTATCGTTGCACCCCTAATATATATGTATATATGTACATTTAGGAGTGGCTATCAAACTTAGCACTCCTCCCTATGATGCCTGAACTTTTTTTCACCTGTAATACTATTATATTGTACACAGTATTGTAAATATGGCAACATATATTGTTTGTACTTTATGCAAGTATTAGGAAAATATCCTGTCAAGTCTGTTTCTAACAAAAATCTGACAGCTAATGTAACATGTCATCCTTATGTTGAGTTAGATGTTAATTTTCTGTGAGACCACTTTACCAGTAAAGACACTCTGGAGCCTTTTCACACAGGGCTCACGCTGGCTGTCCACGAGAATTAGCCATCCCACTTTGTTGCCCTTTGTCATAAATGCAGATGCTGAATAAAAGGAGTTGTTGCTATAAAATTGACCCAATCCTGTTTGTTCATTTAAAGAAGACATTACACAGAGAAACCTGTCCCTATCCCGGAGTGGGCACTCTGCCTATTCTGAGAGACATGGCCTCAGACTTTGTGTCCTTTACAAGCTAGAAGTCATTGTCAACCAAATCTGACACCTACCGCCCCTCAGCTTGAAGTCCAAGACTTATTGCTTAAAATGTGAATCAAGATCTCACTACATTTGTACTGCATAGCTCCAACAACAGGCCCAATACATCTTATTCACAAAGGCATTTGTGAATAAGACTGTGTAAAGAAGACTGTTGAATGCCCTCTCCAGGTCCTCAAGACACATCTAGGCTGGTTGAGTAAACTCCCTCGCACGCTTAAATCTCATAAGAGGATAAAAAGCTGGTTTAGTGTTTCATGACCAGGAGAAACTGAAAATCACTTAGACCTCAGAGGTTTAAATGTCAAAGCCATTTTGACATGTCTTTCTGATACTTTTGCCATAAAATAGAGGTGTCTGTTAAACAAGTGCATGTCTGCGAGTAAAATGTTAGTGAGAGCAGCTAAACTAGGTCACCACTCAAAGTAACGTTAGCCCTTTAAGGTCTACTACGTAAGAAGTACTGCACACACATGAACTTTTTCTGACCCATTTTGGGTCTTTTGTCCATGAACAGGGCATGAAAATTCTAATATTTCCCTTATACCCTCCTCATACACCCACACACACAAATATTTACACACACACTTACATGCAGACTCCAGTAGGTAACACTGACCTGCTGAATTGTGTCCAAGTGTCCAAGTTATATAACGATTTTCATAATGTATGCTCATTTAAACACCACAGGTAGAGCTGGATAAAAAAAAAATATTATATAAATTTGATTATATAAACAAATTTCTTGGTTTTGAATAGAAAACCAGCTGTAACTGGCTGACGGAACAATATGCTAACCTCAATTTTTGACTTTCAAAGTGACTACTGTTAAACCGTTTAGATTTAAGAGCTCCTGCGTCACTGTCGTTTCAATATGGTTATGAAATTAGGCAATTTGGATTTGGTGGACAAGCAGCTGCAATAACTGTGGTAGTCTAGAGGTTAAAGATGTGGGTCTGTGATCAGAATCAACAGGTTAACACTGAGCGTAATTTGATTTTGTTTGGATCTTTGTTTCTAACCTTGTGCCATCAATTTGAATCATCAGGTCACCGTGACTCAAGGGGATTAATATAGAGCATATAAGACATTGAAACACAACATACACCCACAGGCTATGTCCTTCAGTATGTGTTTGTTTATGTGGGTGGAAGGGCAAAGGGAACATGGTGGAACATAGAGATCATACCGACACAATTAAAATCATCTCAAGAGTGAAACACATATATGTAAACTTACACAGACAGAAATTTTCAAATTAATTCAGATTAATCAGTTGGGAAACAGTTGGGAGGAATACAAAGATCTTTAATATTTGATTAACATTTAAAACTCCTCATAGTTTTTGCCCTGTATATCTCATGCTGCAGTCACACTAGACAAATGGTGGTTTGAGACCACTCCGTGACCAAAATTATTGAGACAGTGTGCAATGAACCTGCAATCTTGTTGCCTTGGAAATGGTTGATTAAAAGATGGGAACTAGATCTGAGACTACTTGCAGTCAGCTGCTGTCTTCAAAGTATTCTACCAACCAAAGCAAGGAGGTTTTTGCCAACCAGTTGCAAACCACATGTTTTTCACTAATGACAGGTGGTTGTCAGGGTGTCACTGACTGGACTGTAGACCTGTGTGCAATCATTTGATTTTCCCAGCAAGTGCCATGAATTACCATTACCCACTCAGAATTGGTCAGGGCGTATACATTTTACCCTCATGCCCCAGTGGTTGTCAGATGGATGCAGACTTGTTTGTAGGCCTCTGTGTCTGGGGCCTTATTTACCTGATTCTACATTGTCATCATAATTATCACACGCAAAATGGTGGACAAGTTAGCATCATGTGGGTAGTGGCTGTAAAGCCTCAATAGGAACAGAACCAGCATACAGTTAGTTTGTGCTGATGAATGCAACTTGTGTAAAATGGGGCACTCAAATCGACTGAGGTTGACTGCAAAATGTTGTCAATCTGCCGGCACTTATGAAGTAGACAGCAATTATTTGAAAACCTTCACCTCTCTGTTTGACAGTGCTTACAAAGCAAATGGAAAGTGGTCATTCAAAGTTTGAGGATGTTGCAAGCATAACCTCCTGGTGAACCGTTGGTCACTGCAACTAACCTGCAACTAGTCTCTGAACGCGAAAAACATCAAGGCAATCATAGAGTAGCCACCACATTTTCCTTGTCACTCTTGTCTTGCACTTCGATTTTTTGTAATCATCGAGTATAAATTGCGAATATTAAGCTGTCTGCATGTAATCTCCCCTTCCCACCCGGAAAAGTTTCTACCTGGCGCACTGCGCTGAGCATGTGTGTTGATTTCACAAGGAGGATGCAGAACAAATTGCAGAAATTTGCAAAACATGCCGTAAAACTATTGCAGCTAAGGGTAGCAATACCACTTATTTACAGTGGGGCAAAAAAGTATTTAGTCAGCCACCGATTGTGCAAGTTCCCCCACCTAAAATGATGACAGAGGTCAGTAATTTGCACCAGAGGTACA